GTAGACACACGCATGTTCGTATTACTCGGGGTCTTTTGCAGAACCCTGCCCGTTGGAGGTCTCTCTGTTGTTGGAGGAGTAGGAGATTTCAATTTGGCGGGGGATGGTGTGTTTTCTTTGTCCGGTTGGACTTCGGGCGGAGGAGATGGAAGGAGAGAAGCAGGGCCTTTCCCTTTCTTTTTGGTGCTGGCCTTCGCTGTTTTGGACTGCTTGACTGTCTCGGATTGCTTTGCGGGCGAAGTCTCTTTTGCACCCAAAGACGGTGATGGTCTGGAAGGACTAGGAGGGCGACCAAGTTCCGTCTCTGCTGCTGAACCCCTGGTGGGCGACGGTGGAGCTGCTGGCGGCTCGGGAGGCTGCTCAGACTCGCGCAGGGAAGCTCTGCCTCCTGTTTCTGGGGCATCTGGGGCCTCTATCGTTGAAGCAAGGTTTTCTTCTGCCGGGGGCTGGGGTACAACACGCCCATCTCCTTCATCGTCAACAATCAACGCGGCGCTCAACGACTGCTTTCCCTTCTTGCCAGTCGGTGGCTTCTTCTCCTTTTTCTCCTTTGGTGCCGCCTTGGCTTTCGGCTTGGCTTTGACTTTTGATTTGGCCTTCTTGCCGGGCTGAAAGTCCTCATCCTCACCGTCGTCAACATCCGGAATGTCGAGTGGATCGAATTTGCGCTTTCTGGGCTTGGGCTTGGTTGCCGGCTCCGAGTCAGTGATTGACGAAAGAGAATTGGAGAGGGGTGTTGAAAGGGAGGCGGTGGACGTAGATGCTTCGACAATTATCGGAGTATCAGACTTTTTGTTTTGAGGTTCGGTGGGAACAAGGACCAAAGCAGGTTCCTCTGATACCTCAGCTCCCTCGAGGTTCTCTTGCTCCAAGTTTCTCCTCGGAACCTTGGGCACTTTGTCCTTTTCCGACCGCTCCTTCTCTCTTTTATCCTGTTCGCCTGTCACGTTTGCATTCAGACGCCGGGCAGAGAGAGGGATTTCAATGACAAAAGCAGGCCCCCCAGGCGTCCCTGTCACTTTGCCCTTTCTGATACTGTCCAGGGGATCAGGAGATATGGGTACGTCACCCTTCCGGGGACTTTTGGAAGGTGACGGTTCAACTGCGACCGATGCGGCAGTTTTCCCACTGTTATCCGCAGTAGTGTCATCTTCGCCGTCCGAGGAGAAGTGGAATCTTCTCTTTTCTTTGCGGCCAGACAATGAAGAGCCGGGCACAGTGGGACCGACTGCCCTCTTCAGCGGAGACGATGGGGTAAGTTTAGCAGCCTTTCCATACTGCTTGATCTTCTTCGCAGGTGGCGGTATACTAGAATCGGGCGCGGCGCTCGACAGCAGGGTGGGTGAGACGCCGCCTGGCTCATTCGAAGAACTCTCTGCCCCACGAATGCTGGAAGTATGTGATATGCCGTTGGATGATGACCCGAGTGAGTCACAGACGATTTCAGCTTTTGGCTGGAGAGAGACTGAGTTCACCGGGTTGGGCGAAGGATTGAGCAGATGCGCAGGGAAAGAAGAGGGGGGATATGATTTATGGGAAGATGAACCAGTACCAGAGGTGTTGTTGCTGACACTCTCTGGAACGAGGATAGAGGTGTTGGGGTTAACAGTTGGTGTCAATGTTTGTACGTCACTGGGAGCTACAGTTCGGGTCAGACATGGCACGATGTCAGCATACGTAGTATGACATACCTGTGGGCTTCACGCCGAAGCTTGAAATGTCCTCGTCTAAACTCTCTGCGAAATTCGCCACCACCGCAGGGGGGGCCATGTTCTGTTCTGCAGTTTCTGCCGGTTGTCTGCCCGACAGAGAGGTTCTAGGAGACGTCTGTATGACCGCATGCTCAACAGGTCTCAATTCCATCTCTCTGGAGTCTTCGGTGGCGTGGTCGCTGGAGCTGAAGAAGTGCGGTGAGGTGTTTGCGAAGACTTTGGCTTGTTGAGTGGAAAGCTCGAGGGCGCGAGCAAGATCGGCGGCTTCCCGGCGTCTGTTGTGACCGGTGAGCACGTGCATATCATGTTGGATCAAGAGTGGCCCTACCTAGACATGTATTCAAGGTGCCTCCGAGATGACAAGGTGATATCCGCGCTTGGTCTGCTCTGTACGGAGGACAGTCGGTTTCTGTTACGCGATAAAGGTTCAAGAGTTCAAGTTTTGATGCGAAAGAATATGATTCAAAAGGTGGGTGGCAAAAATCGCAAGTTGGATGAAAACAAGACAAAAGCAAAAGATGATGGACACTAATACGCGTTCACCAGACTGACGCGTCAAGCTATTAAGCCTGGCCGCTGAGATGCCAGTGTTACATAAGCAGGGCCATCTTGCTTCTCTTGTTGCAATTGCAGCAGCTGGTCACTGGCAGCGCCGCCGACGGTTCGATTTGCCTTACTATTACCTATTCACATTTTGCTCCTTCTCTTCGCATACATCCGCCATGGACACAGTCGTCAGCTCCACCATCTCGGAGCCTTTAGATCTCGTTAAACTCGCTCTTGGAGAGTGAGTGTAGCTCTGGAGAGCGTTGCCTTTTTGTCAATCTCTCACCAGACTATCGTACTGATTGCTCTTGCAGACGAGTTTTGATCAAGCTCAGAGGCGACAGAATCGTCACGGGAGTCCTTCACGTACGTGGCATTCCTTTCTTATGTTGACCTAATCTGACATGCAAAACAGGCCCACGATCCTCACATGAATGTTGTCGTGTCGCAAGCGGAAGAGTCCATCTATATCGTTGATGTCACCGAGGACGGACAACCGTTACCACCAAAATTAGAGAAGCGAAACTTTGAGATGCTGTTTGTGAGAGGGGATGGTGTCATTCTTGTAAGTTTGAAACACAGAGGTTTAATATAGCGACTGACGGGGGCATAGCTTTCACCAGTCGAACAGTAATGCGACAGTCAATTAGAACACCATGCATTCATATCCACCAAATTGTCCTTGTACGTTGGAAAGTACCGAATATGGCTCAAGCTACATTCGGCAATTTACGCTCTATTCTGCAACCGTAGATCCTGGTAGGTATATTTGTTCGCATGGCTACTCAGTGGGTGAGTGGATGATCTCGAAATGACTGAACAGATACATGACTGTCGCGTCATTGTTCTGAAGATATACATGCTTGGGAATGTTTTCGGGCAAGTTAGCGTAAAATTGCCGTTCGTCACACGAGGGGAAGAAGAAGTCGGAGGGTCGACAACATGGACGATCGGGCGAGGATTCGTTGATAGCTAAAAAGGCTGAAGATGCAAATTCAGAAAATTTGAGTACGCTTCCATTTTCGTATGGTGCTTGGACATAGCGGAAGACAACGAGCAGCGCCACACCAACTCTCATCATTGACATACGATCAGGCCAGCGATGTAGTAGATATCGTTCTTGGACCTCTCTGCGCTCGGTTCCGAATGGTCTTGTATCAATCGTGCTGCTTGCTAATGACTTGGTTAATTTTCATTTCACAATTCCACACCGCGAGGCGTAGTACAGTACGAGTAGAGTACCATCATGCCTCAGCTCCTGAGTCTGCGAGGTTTCATAACCCTTGGATCTGGATCGCAAAACGAATGAACATGAACGTACAACTAGCCCCTGCATCATAAATCCGGCAATGTGATACAAGCAACGTCCACGAATTCGATCGCGAATGTGTTGGCCAAGTGAGGCGCAATGTCGGCGTACATATGCTTGATACGCATGGGTAGGGTCGGTTGCCCGATTTGGTTCCGCAGCAAGCGTTGCCTGACGGAGCGTCGGCGTTGCGTGTGATCTAACGTGCCATTTATGAACCACATCCACATTACGTTACATCTGACTGACGAGAAAGCGGTTTAAAAGTGGCGTACTGTGATGTCTCCTATGTCTCCTCTGCGTGGACCGAAAGGTGACTCCGAGAGGAGTTTCCCGAACGATGCGCGACACAGCTATCCGGACAGTCTGCGATCAAGAGTGGGTAGATGCTCTCTATTATGACAAACATATTGATATTGTTTCTATCCTACAGAGAGCCTGCGACATATGCAGAAAGCGGAAGATACGATGTGATGGGCCCATGACTAGTTCCACTGCCCGTGAGTCTAGCTCTCAGACTCGTATATCTACAGCTGAACAAGTCGGACCAGGATGTGCGCATTGTGATCGAAATCAATTCTTATGCACTTATACGGAAGGCGGAGGATCGAAAAGGCCGACACAAAGGCAAGTGGATTATCAAGACTACATGTTCGCATCCTCTGCTGACTCAGAGCCCTTCAGCTGTGTCAAAATGCTACAACAGAGATGCAGTCGTTTGGAGTCCATGCTGAAAGCGGTGAGCGCAGTAACGGCATTGCGTTGCAGATCGACTGACAAAGTCTAAGTTGTATCCCCAGGTCAACCTCGACGACTATGTGGGACCTCCTATCGATCACGAAGACTTTGATCTTCGATCTTATCAAGAACAGCTTCGCGCCCTCTCCATCCCCGAATTCCCCACCATAAAGCCTCTTCCTCCATCCCGTATACCCTCTCACAGCCCTATAACCCCATCGTCTCTGGACAGCACAGAGCAGCTCGAAGAATCGGATGAAGAAGACATCCCAGTGACCAAAAGCGTAGCCCGAGGATACGCACTGAATGGGATGGAGATTGGCGGAGTGGGATGGAGACATCATGGCAAAACATCGGGTGCTCATCTGCTGTGCCACTACCAAGAAATCAAAGGGCACACCCACGGGAACGTGGACTTTTTCGAGTCACTCGGACGACACAGAACCGAGCCACTGTGGCGTATCCCAGAATGGGAATATTCTGTCACCGAGGCGGGATTACATCCGTTGGATTACTCTGACTGGCCTGACCAGGGGCTGGATCAGCAGCTCATCGGTGCTTACTTTGATCATGTCAACATCAATCTTCCCCTTCTCAATTGGGCACTTTTCCAGCGCGAGTACGACGCAGGGCTATGGAAGACCAATCACAGATTCGGCAGAGTCTGCCTCTTGATATTCGCATGTGGATCTTTGTTCTTCAAGACTCCCGCAACCTTATGGCCGTCACCACCCTCGCATGAAAATGACCCGATACGGCTGTCATATTCTTCCGGTTGGAAGTACCTCTTGATGGCCCTTAATATGGGGGAGAATAGCGTGCGGATGCCAGATCTGTATCAACTTCAGAGCCAGACTCTGATATGCTACTTTATGCAGGCTGGTACTCTGCCTCATTTCATAGCGGCAGGAGCCGGCTCTGCTCTGCGTTCCACGCAGGAGCTCGGCATACACCTCAAACAGGTGCTCGATAAGCTCGACCCCACCACAAAGGAGCTCTACAAGCGAGCCTTCTGGTGTCTGTATCATTTGGACCGGTATAACTCTGCCACGCTAGGGCGATCGGTTGCTATGACGGAGAGAGACTTCAACGTCCCTTTTCCGGAAGACGTCGATGATGAATACTGGGTATTGGAGGGTGGTGGCGTAATGAGGCAACCCGAAGGAAAGGTTTCAAAAGTGGCGGCGTTCATTCAAATGCTCAAGCTTGATCAGATACTGGGGAAGGTACTCGGCCAGCTGTACCCGGCCAGGAAAGCCGACTCTGATACAGCCAATAGGCGAGCTGTTGCTGTCGAGCTAGATCTTGCCCTTGCCGAATGGGCGAAGAACGTCCCAAGCGTTCTGCGCTGGGACCCCGATCACTCCAACTACACTCTTCTCCAACAAACCTCTTGTATCTGGGGCTTCCATTGGTTCATCAAAATCCTATTGCACCGGAATCTGATACCCCCTCGACCAAACGTCGCAACTATTGATCAGATATCGTCTTTGGCCGAATGCGTCGCGGCAGCTCTGTCAATATCCAGTATCACCAGCGCCACTCTCCAACGCGGCCGACTGGAAGGTTGCCAGCCAGGGAAATCCCTTGACATCTTCCTCATGGTCCCCTCCTGGCTGGCAGCTACCGTTCTCTTGGTCAGCATCTATACGATGAACAACACTGCTACCGAAAGACAGAGGGCAGTGAACGGTATCAAGATGTCCTTGGAAGCCAGTAAAGAATTGGGTGCGCTGTGGAAATTGGCTGCCAAGACAGGTGATTTTCTGGAGCAGTATCTCAGAGATATCGAAAACCACAATGGGGACAAGTCGAGCCGATCCGATACTGTACCAAACCCTACCAAGTTGGTGGCCTACGCTACTTCTCAGTGGTCCGCGTCGAGTCCCGATAGCGAGGAAGTATCTCAGAGGGGCCTTTTCAACTCCTGGTTGAAAATGAATATGTTTGAGGCTCAGATAGCAGGTATGAACAACATGTCATTGGGCAATGGCGAGGAGACCTTTGGCGAAGAATGGTGGGAGCGGATGTTGAGCAACCAAATGTGAGGCACACGATCCCTCAACGTCATCATTCGCAGAAGCTGATGGCAGCAACTTGACAGAGGTCCAGATCTATACAATACTTGGGCGCAGTGACACATGGACGACTTTGCGTCATATGCGGGCACTATAGCTATCGTAATATCGATCATGCATATGTATATTAGTCTAGTCACAGTCGTCGTGGGTGTCGTTCATGGTATAATCAAAACGTCTCCGCCTGCTTGAACTCAGGCTGGTCCTATGGTAGATAGCTTACCCTTCTTGCCCGAAAGCTTCCCTAGCATCCCGCCCCAAGATCCCGTCTTTCTCATTGACTGTGGCAGTCCTTCAGAGCTACCGCTCGCCGTGTCCCTGCCCCCAGCATTCCTATTTGCGCTCTTTCTTCTTCCCAACCATCCTCTCTTGGCGTCATGTTCCTCCAGAGACTCATATGGGCGGGAGGGAACGCGGGCAACGAGAGTCTCTGTGCGGGAAAGAGAGATGTCGGGTTCCGGCGAGATTCGCTGCTCCTTGCCTTTGCCCAATTTGGTGGGTGTTTCAGGATCGGGAAGAATGGGTAGGGTAGTACTATCAAGTGGGCTTATCTCGGCGGCCAAGCTCGGTAGATCCGGCGGCGAGTTTTGAACCCTGTCATCGAAACCCATCGACGCCACACCGTCCACCAAACCCGAGCTCAGAGACCCCTCGGCCAAGGCTAGGTTCGGTATCTCCACCTTCTCTACCCCTGCTCGATTTGGTCTGGTAACTTCGAGCAAGGGACTCATGGGCGCCAGACCCCGCCCATCATCTTGGAAGCCTTCAATGTTATCTTCTGACCTTGCTGGTCTCAGCTCTCGGCCGCGCTTGACTGGAGATACAGCCCCGAGTCGTAAATTAGTGACTGAGGAAGGACGTTGCAGGTCAAATGACAAGCTTTTGCGTCCGCTCAGTACAGAGGCAGAGTTTTGCGTCCTTCCCCTAGACTTGCCACCCTCACTCCCCGTCCTGATACCAAGACCTGCGATACCCTCTCCATCGACTGAGCCGGAGCGCTCTGCCCATTGTCGTAATGAGACCCTCGGCGAAGGCGGTAATGCACTGAAGGACGAAGATCTTGAATGCGTTGCGGCAAAGTAGTCGCCTTTATAAGATATGACTGACGGAGAGCGAGCAGCAGCCGCCGAGATTTGCGAGGACCGCATGGGGGAAGAGGGTACAGATGGGGAGGCAAAATCCCAGGAGGAGGTTCCAGAGACAATAGAAGAGACCGTGGGGACACGGAACAGCTCTTGTCGTTGGGAAAGAGGTGGGACGCCGTCAAGAAGTGTTTGTGCCAACGCTTCTTTCTTTCTGGAATGTCTGAGCCATAAATGGTCTAGTAATTGCGATGCTGATGCTCTGGCCGTGTGTTAGTACACGACTGCGATTCAGATTAGAGACTCACCGATGCGCAGGCTCTTTGACCAGACAAAGTTGTACAAAATCCTGCATCTGCTTACTGAACTTGCCCATCCTGTCCAGCACTGGCGCAGGCTCTTTCGCTATATTTGTCAAGATGTCTCTACTTTTCCGCTTGCCACCCGGAACGGCGCCATAAGCTAGCTCGAGGATAGTGATACCGAGACTCCAGATGTCGGCTTTGCTATCGTACTTTTGGCCAGTCACGACCTCGGGGGCCATCCAACTGGGCTACAACAAGGATCAATCGCTGTGCGTCGACCGGACGGTCACTCTTACAGTTCCCACGAAGCTCTTCCTCATACCCCGGTCATCGTTTGGTGAAGGCATCCTCTTCCCAGGCCCGAGACCCTGCTGGGGCTCGAACCTGATTTCTTCGATGCCCGTCCGCTTGGCTTTACCAGGCGCAGGCGAAGCAGGGAGGTTCATATCACCACCTACACCGAGGTCGGCAAGGAGTATAGTGCCGTCTACATCTATCAATAGGTTGCCTGCTTTCAGGTCTCGCTGGGCGGCTGTCAGTGGTAAGCTGATATGGAGGGCGAATGCACATACATGTATATATCCTTGTTCGTGCAAGTAGGCCAGGCCATCCAGCACCTGCTTAACGATCCCCTTTACCTCTTCTTCCTCTAGTCCCCCGGCGTCCGGCCGTTCTGTGTCGAGATCTCGTTTCTTGCCGAATTTGAAGTTGCTCCGACTCTTGGTCGGGGTCGCCAAGCGAGAACGCCAATCCAGGATGCCCGCGAGCGACCCACCGGATATAAGAGGAGTCACTATGGCTAGTCGGAGATGGTCGGGAGGTAGAGTGAAAGTTGTTACGATACTATGCGTGGTATCCATCAACATCAGCATGGACGGGGAAAACTGCTCGGGACGAACCGAAGGACATTTGGATGCCTGCAAAGCTCTAGCAGACGTATCTCTTTGAAGAGTAGTTCAGCATCATACTGATAGCCCGAGACTTTGATCGCGCAAGGCAGCTCCTTTGGCTGCGCCGAGCTATTTGATTTGGTCAAGTCGCCCGGCGAGACGTTGTTTGATAGAGAAGCAGAGGCTGGAGATAGAGAAATGCTCAGGTTGGGTTTGCGAGATGTGCTTGGCAATGAAGCCGAGATGGGTTGAAGATGTCGGGGCTGAGTTTGAGTAGGAGCTGGCGTGGCGGCTGATGGTACAGGAGCCGAGTGGTATGTGGGCGGTGTAAAGACAGCGGCATAGACAGTGGACGAAGCGCCGAACCCTATACAGTACTGTCAGATTCGTCAACCAGAAGTGTGAGACTTGATACCTATAGCAGGACCGAGCTCATAGTCATCCGAATTCGACGTAAACACACTCCAGTACTCGACATTGGTCATTCCCATATTGTGACCTTCCCCCTGGCTTTTGGAGGAGCGTCGGTGCGCCATGATGTTGTGAAAGTTGCTGTGAGGTCAGGCAAGCATATATAGCCCTGTCCTGCCACCTCCGAAGCAGCCCGGATAGCAGTGAAATGGCATCTCGCCTGCATCTCTCCCCGTTGTGACGCGTCGCGTCGTGGCGTGATGTTATGTAATAACAGCACTTTGTTGTTCGTTGAGTGAAGCTAAGGCTCGCAAAGGCCATGTAGCCATCATTCTACTATACCGTACATAGAAATCCGCGGCAGTAAAGCAGGCCAATATTACATATACCACAGAAAGGTGTCATATGAAATATATCGTAGAATAGGCATAAATCCGGACCATCACTCCCTCTGCTGCTTCCCTTGAGCCATCCTTTACATCTCTTCCATCATCATTACATGCTATCAATTCTCGTCGGTCTGGTCAAACAGAAAGTTGGCGGCCAATTCCTCGTTCTTGTCACAGAGCATGTAGGCCTGAAGAACCATTTGCCTGTCGAAACCAAGAGCCTCGAGCTACGCGTACCGTCAGCCATGTGCTACACCTCAACGATGCCAACTTACCCTGGAAACAGCAGCAGCCTCCTCCTGCGTCAAGTCCACCCTCATAACAGGTCCCTCTCCCATCTCATCATCATCATCTCCATCTCCAGCGCCACCAAGGAGTTGGTAAAGCGCTTCGGGGTTTTGCTGAATAAGTTGAGCGAGCTCCGGGTTCTCAGCGGTGATCTGTTGAAGGAGTGGTTGGATGAGGGCGGGGTTTTGCTGGACCATCTGTCGGATAGCGTCGAGCTGGTTACCAGGCGCACCTCCAGCTCCAGCCCCGGGGGCACCAGCGGGAGCTCCTCGGTCACGGTTCACTAAAAGGTTTGTCAATTCACATTGTTCATTCTTGACTCCATTGCTTACTAGCAGCCTCGGCAGCCTGTATTTTGTCAGCTGCGGTCTATTGTCACGCCAGGAGACTTACAGCGAACAAGTTGTCGGCGCTTCCGGCGGCAGGCGCCTCGGCAGCGGGTTGTCCAGCGGGCTGGGCAGCAGGAGCTGGAGGGGCAGCGGCGGCAGGGATTGAGGGGGCGGAGGGGGCAGCGGCAGGGGCAGGAGAAGCAGGCGTGGGGGGATCCAGGTTGGGAATGTTTCCCTGTTGGCGCGTCAGCTACTGAACTCGTTACAAGACGAATGCACCCACAGACATGAGGTACTCGACGGCCCGGTCAGGGTTGTTGAAACTGGCCCTCAGAGCTCGCACGACCAAATCACGCTCAAAGCCCATCTCTACCATACCATCGGTAGCAGCTTGCAGCTGGTCACCAGTCACTGGACCACATATTAGCTTGAGGCAAAAGATGTGAGATTCGACGTACAGAAAGAGGTGCCGAGAGCTGCGGAACCGGACGGTTGAGCGGATTCGGAGGCGGCGGGAGTAGGGGTCTCGGCAGGGGCTGTGGGTGCAGGTCCAGATGAAGGGGCGGGGGCAGCCGGTGTAGAGGGAGCGACGGAAGCAGCAGGGGCAGGGGTGGAAGGGACGGCGGCGGCGGCAGGAGCAGCTTTAGGCTATCTGATGTTAGATCGGCCGGGTAGAGACCACACCTTGCTCACTCTTGAGACCATCACGACCAAAAAGTCCTTCTCCTTGATCTTGAGAGACTCGACGGATGAAGAATCATTGAGGATCTTGCCTGCGGGAAAGGTGAGGTGTGAACATGCAGGTGGCAAGGCGGCGAACGCACCAGAGTAGATGAGCTTTTGATTTTCGGCAGGGAAGGTCTGGGACTCTTGAATCTTTTGCTTCAAGTCGGCGACCTGGAGGGGACTGATGTCAGTATGATGCATGGATCGGAATCTGCGAGAGAGGCGACTTGCGGTCTCGGAGTCCTGAGCCTCGACGGTGAAGAGCTGCAGGGGGGGGTAAGCATGCATTGTGAGGGTGGGGGAGGACACGGACCTTGTTCTGTACGGTCTTGAAGGTGATTTTGACCATGGTGATAGATGCTGGAGAGGGTTGACGATGCACCCTCAACTTGTCCATCATCCACGCTTCGTCACCGTGGACATCGCCGCCTTATTCTTAACACACAGGTTAAAAATATTGCTCTTTGCTTCCGTTCACTCTAGAGCGCCACATGGCAAATGCCCGGGAAACGCCGAGAAACTCTTGCAGCAGGCTTCGACTTTGGCTTGCAGAGAGAGACGCCTTTGCTCAACCCTCAAATTCTACTGTGCGTCCACCGACACCTCCCTCAACAGCCCTCTGACGAACCCCTGCAGAAAAATGGCCTCTTCTTCATCCAAGATCCGAGCCTTCGAGCTCCAGTCCAAGTGCGTTTCCGACATACACAAATTCGACATTTCGCCACGTAGAAATGGAGAATATCAAGATGGAGGATCAGAAGGACGGAATGCTGACGGGATGTTGTAGGAGCAAGCAGGACCTTTTGGAGCAGCTCCACGAGCTTAAGACTGAGCTCTCTTCTTTGAGGGTGCAGAAGATCGCCGGTGGCTCTGCCAGCAAGTTGACCAAGATGTGGGTATCGGATCTCTTTGTGCATAGGATGGAGTAGGGATGGATAGGGAGGGCACAGGGACGGGGGCTTCATACAAGCCCTGCGTTGCCAGGAGATTGACAACAGGGGACAGTCGTGCTGACCAAGTTCTAGCAACACCGTCCGAAAGTCCATTGCCCGAGTCCTCACCGTCATCAACCAGAAGCAGAGGCAAAACCTCAGGGAGTTCTACAAGAAGTCCAAGTGTACGTCTTTCGCATAGTTCACCTGGATCATTCTCATTTTGAACAGACACTCCCCTCGACCTCCGTTACAAGAAGACCCGTGCTATCCGACGTCGATTGACCGAGAAGGAGGCTTCTGCTATCACCGTCAAGCAGCACAAGAAGAACATCCACTTCCCCGCCAGGAGTACGTCTCGTGTATCATCATTGCCTGGAATGATTGCTGACCGACTTTGCAGAGATCGCCCTTAAGGCTTAAGGTGTTTTTCCTGTAGGCTGACAGGGTGGGGATGCATGAGTGTACCACGATATACAGTTTGCGATTGTCTCGTTCAGGCGGTTCAGGGGGGAATTAGGTCGAGGGAGCAATACTGATGCCTGTCACTAATCTTTTAGATTCAAGCCTTGTGCTCGTTCAAAAACTGGTTGAGATAATCAACAATGCGACGAGAGGGACATATGGCGAGACTAGCTGTGAGTCATTCACCTCAAGCCGCGCGGCTTCCTATGATGAGCAATCTTTTACAAGCTCAACAGTCCTACTATTACTGAGGATACCCCTCTTCTTCTTTATCTCTGAGGATTCAGTCGCGCGGCTGCTTGATTCGATTTGGGAATGTGTCGCTGACCGCTTGATAGACGTCAAAATATATTGCAGGTCGATGCGGGATACGCTACTGAGATGCGGTCGCAAATAGTTGAGATTTTGGTCACCTCTGCCCTGTGCGAAATCGACGTCTCACCATCGCTCGTCGCATCATGCAACACTTGATACTCGCCTTCTCCCCGTCACTACACTGCATCGACAGTGAATGCTACTGATGTATTGCTCACCCAAGCTGGTTCATTCGTGTCGAAAAATAGTGAGTCAGTCATCTCGGGCCGCGCGATTTCCTATGATGAGCAATTCTTTACAAGCTCAACAGTCCTACCTTTACTGAGGATACCCCTCTTCTTCTTTATCTCTGAGGATTCTCGTCGCGCGGCTATTGTTTGATGGTCAGGCAGAATGTATCGCTGACCGTTTCACAGTGATACCGTGCCAGAAATGATATGGAACGATGTAGGGTTGTGTTTGAGGGCCATAGAGTGGGCATTTCAATGGACAGAAATCGGCAGGATGGCAACGGTTGCAGGTCGATTATGCATTCCTTTTCTTGTTTCAACACTCTTGCGCCTCGAATGATGTTTGACGCTGGCACAGGTATACATACTGATCGCTTTCGACTCAGTCATCATCCGTGATACTATCCGGCTCCTCAGAGTACACCATATATCTCAGCTGGTTGTCCTCGTCCCTATCGTTCCCAAAGTTGTCAGCATGGCGGGGGGGGATGTGCGAACTTACAGGTAAGTATCCTGTTCCAATGCGCCTTCTTCGGCAACACCTCCGTCGAAGCTTGTCACGGAGGGATCCACGGTGCTGACGCTCTGTTGAGATTGGCTTTCCTGTGCAGTCATGGCATGTACGAGGTGATGTATGTTTTCGGATGTCCTTATAAGATCTCCATACACGTCTCCCTCTATACAAGTAGGATGGCAGTTCAAAGGGTCGTCTTTGCGCTATCGCTCTTTTGATCCAAGAGGAGACAGTGCATGTATCATCAGAAACGCGTAACAAGTCTTTACTTTGGTTGGGCATCGAACGTATAGACATGCCAATGCAAGGCTCTCGATGCACCCGAGACCCATGCATCGCTGTCATTGACTGATGAAAGACAAACGACATCGCCTCTCTTTGATGCAAGACCTGCACTGCCCGAGCCCCATATATAGCCCTCCACCCGGACTCGCCACCTCCGAATAAAGCTGAAATCTCCTAACAAAACGGTCCTAATCCAGGCCTAATCGCGTCCCATGCGTCGATCGCACAAGCTAGAGCGTAAAATAACGAAAAGCCGGTGCAAGGGAGATCTCGTGTATGTATTTGGAGTCTCCCCAGGTCCCCGGAAGGTATATATAGCTTTCATAGCCAAATATGGGTCCGTAGTCTTTGGAAGCTGTCAACAAAACGTCATGGACAAGTCAGAAAAGTCTGGATGGGTGATAAGATCGATAAGACAGTGGCTGTATACATGTTTGTGGAATCTGGGAGGCCGAAGTCCGAAGAAAGATGTCAAGGGAGCGCAGAAAGGACACACAAGGTCAGATGATTTTTGCATTGTCCTGTCGATTGATCTGCGCAAAGGAAAACAAAAGGCAACAGGCAACATGGGCGAGGGCTGAGGTTGAGGTTGAGGTTGAGGTTGAATTTGAGTCTTTGTGGCGCGGGCTCGGTGCATATGCGTTTGAGCGTGACCAGCATCACTGACTCCTTTGTCTGGCCGCTTGAAACGGCCCAAGGGGTGCAAGGGGCTCGCCGCTCAAGTCGAGGCTCGAGCAAAAGTCGAGAGCGGGGAGCGAGCCGATAACAACCCTGGTCTCGCAGCCAGGCCATCTAGACGCGCTATGGCACAGAGATCGAGGGTCTTGGGGTACCGGAATGGACGCGTCAATGTTGAGTGATTCATGAGATGTACTCGTATGTACCGTATGTCAAGCCCGGGGTGTGCCTTCGCGAGACATGATGTAGATGGGCTAGAGCGTTGTCAAGGGGCGACGTGCGGGTACGTCACACCTGACGGGAGCAACCGATTTGAGCCACTCTAGGCGCGGCGGAGATGCGGGTGACGAGTGTCTGTTCTGTGAAGAGGGGCATGATAAGCTATCGTCTATCTATGCATGGCTGACGTTGGCAGCGCTGGCTGTGGGACGACGCGTCTATGCAAACACGACGCGTTATAAGCTCCCAGGGAGTTGTGTGGGGACGCGGCTTTTTGGGCCCGGGGCTCTAGCGTTCCCTGACTGCGAGCCAGGAATAGCCCCGTGCCCTCGGCATCGCCTCGCGCTCGCCCTTCACCGCATCCTCAAAACCGTCATCTCGCCTCCCTCTCCCCCCATCCCGCTGCTTTTCTTTCTTCAATTCACCACATACGTTCTTTAACACCCCACCACCCCCCCTTGTTTCCATCCCTCGCCACTCCCTTTATCCCGTACGTCCCACCCTCCCTCTGCTGCGCGACCGTCTCTCCATTGTTCTTTCCACCCCCCATCACCCCCTTTCCATCCCAGCCAACCGCCTGGCCCCTTGCATCCACCCCGCGAACAGCACGCTGACTACAGACCTCCTCTCCCTCTGCTCTTTATCAACTGGCTTGATTCGAATCTTGTAGAAAGTGAGCCTTATCGCCCTCCTAGGCCCACAGCGCGCGTCAAAGACCATTCCGACTGACAATACCTTTTCAGAAAACCCGCCTCTTTTCCATAATGATCTCCAAGGTCGCTGTTGCCGGCGCCGCCGCCGCTCTTGCTGCTGGCGTTGTACGTCGCGTCTCACCAGACAACGATGCCCAATGAGACTGACGAGTTTTTTTTTTTTTGCGCACAGGCCAACGCCCAGGTTACCGCCACTGGTACCATGGGTTCCACCAACCCCGCCGCTGCCACCCTCGGTACCGCGGTCAACCAGACCTCGTTCTCCCGATTGCTCTCTTTGAACGCCATCGACGACTTCTGTGTCTTTGCTCCCCACGAGAAGGACTCTGAGATCGGAGACACCGAGGCCGAGGAGGTCGCTTGGTGTGTCCGTAAGTCGCGCTTTCTACCTCTCTGCTTTACCCCCTGACATCTCGCAGAGGCCCGTAACGAGGCCCGAGTCATCCCCGATGGTACCCTCACTGCCGTCCACTTTGTCAAGACTCCCCTCTACTGGCAGGTCCAGGGTTTCGGTGACTTCACCCAACTCAACATCAAGGACGGCGACGAGGGTGGTGAGCTCGACCCCCACGGTGCCACCGGTCTCGGTAACCCCGTCGGCGGTAACGTCACCACTAACGCCACTGGTTCCGATGTCTCTTACGAGGAATGGATGAAGTTCGTAGAGCTCGTCAAACACACAAACACCACCGCGCTGACACCCTCACAGCTACATGTCTTACGACATGTTCTGTCTCCGAATCTGTATCTCGGCCAACTCTACCTACACTGCCGCCGAAGAGTGCCAGCACACCCTTGACGAGATGGGTTGTTCTTGGATCATGCCCGGTGACTACACCGACAACTCTTTCACCGAGTGTGACGGTGACGCCGCCTACCCCCCTGGTATCTACCCCCTCAAGAACGGCTCCACCTCCACCTTTGCTCAGCGATACACTGGTACCTACACCAACTCTGACGGTTCCAAGGGTACCTGGACCCAGGGTGAGACTGTCACTCCCCAGACTGCCTACTCCACCCCGGCCACTTCCAACTGTATTACCTACTCGTCTGTCGGTAACGGCATTGCCTCCCTTGCCCTTTCGGGTGCTACCAATGCCACAGGCGTGAGTTCAATGCAATTTCTTACTTGACATTGACTGACGATATCGTAGGTCGCGGGAGGTAGTTCCACCGCATCTGTCACTGGTGCTTCTGAATCTGGTTCCGACTCTGCTGCTGCTACTGGTTCGTCGTCTGGCTCTTCCGCTGCTGTCACGAGCTCTTCATCTGGTGTCGCCTCGGAGTCTAGCTCTTCGGGCTCTGCCTCTTCGGGCTCTGGCAGCAGCGTCTCTTCTTCCGCATCTGCTGGATCTGACTCTTCTGCTGCAGGAGGCTCCACTGCCGCGGCATCGGCCTCCGGGAGCTCGTCATCCTCTGGGGCCCTCTCTGCCTTTGGTGGCCTCAACTCTGGCTCTGCTACGGCCGGACTCGTCAGCGTTGTCGCGCTCTTGGCTGGTGCGGGCTCTTTCCTCCTTTAAACGGGAGAGGAATGATCTGCATCGACTAGACTGCGACCGACGACCGAGAAATGCTATGCGATGGAGGATGTGATCTTGGCTTGTGGCGTTGTGCGGGCGAGAAACGTAATTCTGCTACTCTTATCCCAAACTTGTCTTTTACATATTTTCTATACGTTTGACCCCCACAACCTCCGCACCGCCCGCATAGGAATGGACTTTATACATTGATTGCCCCCTTCTTGTTGCATGGATTGCACTGCATTGAGCCAAGACGGTGGCTTACGAGATCATGGCCGAAAGAAGCAAGTTGGCTGACTCCCAGTTTCGGAGAATGACGAGCGGCCAACTGCAGAGTCGTAATGCGCGTTCCTGGTTATGGGCCGAGGCGATGACAAGTGCGACACTGCCGCTTCGAGAGGATGGATTCGGTGCGCGGGGTGCATTTCTTGCATTTCACCACATCTTGCCTTGTCCCCATCAGCATCACACACACCGGCACCCACCGCGTCCCTGCACGGGCCATGTTTAGATCTCGCAAATCCTCCGTCTCGCAGATATCGCCCCTCGAACCCCCGCCCCAGCCCCAACAGCCCCAGCAGCGCCGAACAAGCATGCAGCCCACCCCGCCCAACTCTGCCCCAGGCCAGGTGCCGCAGGGGCAGGGCCGTCCACCGCGTCCCCCTACCCAAGGCGCGCGCGGCCCAGGCTCGTTCGACGCCTATCCTCCGCAGCCTGCATTTGCGGGCGGACCGAGGATGGATCGCGTGCAGAGCCACGACCAAGGGAGTGCCAAGGGGGAGAAGAGGCGGAGCGGGTTCTTTGGGTTCGGGGGCAAGAAGAAGGACAAGGCGGAGAAGGGGCCGAAGCGGGAGGACGGCGATGTGAGTCGTGGAACTGTTTCTGGGCGATGGCGGTCCGGGCGGCATAACAGTATGCTCATGTCGTTGCAGAAACCTCGCTCGTCCTTCTCTATAGATCGCGAATCCACCCAGCTCGCCTCACGCCCAGTCCCGACGTCCGCCTCCCAGCGCTTTCCCCAGGGACAAGGCCAGCAGATACCGCAGCAGCACGCTCAAGCTCAGGCTCTGCGGCAACAGCAGCAGCCTCCTTCTCAACCGCGGCCGTTTGCTCGAGATCAAGGTCCTACACCGCCTCCCCAGCAACAACAGCGGATTCCAGCTGCCGCGAACGACGGTCAACGATCCCAGAGCTTGGAGATCCCAAGAAACCATCAGCAGGCGGTGAACGGACAGCAACGGTCTTCGCCTCTTGTACCCCCAGAGACTCTGCAGCAATCCCAAACAGGGATGCCGGCAAAGCAATCTGTGCCAAGGTCGGTCTCGATGCCGATGGCGCCTCCAGCGCCTGGCACGACCCCCAACGGTGGCAGCGGCTCCCCTCGTCGGGCCTCTCTCTTTAGCAGCGGCAGCACTGCTCAAGACCCAAACGCTCGAGGCTCGTTCGAGTTTGGCAATATCAACACTGAAAAATTCCAGGCCATCCTCGAGCTCATCGCCCTCCAGCCCCAAAAGACATACGTGACGTCCCCGCCAGAGCTCGAGATGATTCTCGCGAGGACGAGTGCCGGTGGGCAACCCAAGCTGGGACAGCCCGGGAGTCCGAGTAATGATTGGGATGCGGTTTGGTTGCAACTTTCCGGAATTTCGCTTTGTGAGTTTGAGTCAGGGGGCGTGGGAGGCGTGCTGATAATAGACAGCCATGTGGTCCATGAAGGAGACACGGGCTGCTGCTGCTAAAGGCGACAAGGTGCCTCCGACTTACTTCAACATTACCGACTCTTCCCTCGAGCTTCTCGCCCCCCTCCCGCCTCCCCCTCACCGACCAAACTCTCGCCCGCACAACTTTGTCTACTCTCTCAACACTGCGGGGTCGAACCGACTCTTGTTTTCGAGTCCTACCGAGCGTGACCTTGCCCGATGGGTGTCTGGACTCCGGCTCGCGGCGTGGGAGAGGGCAAGGTTGGAGGAGATCTACACTGGTCATCTGGTCCAGTATGGCGAGCGCGAGCCGCCCGTCGAGGTGGGCAAAGGCCGATCAAAGATGGAAGGTTGGGTTCGAGTACGTGTCATGGGTGGGACCGACTGGAGGCGGCTTTGGGCTGTTTTGAGTACGCCCGGGGAGGAGGGCGCCAAAGACGAAGGAAAACATAGGCGAAGGAGTTTCTTTGGGATTGGAGGCAAGGAAGAAGAGCCGGCGCCACAAGAGCCCAACACTGGGGTTTCTATGGCTGCATTCTATACCGAGCCGAGGACCGCAAAGAACAAGACTAGTGTCACGCCTGTTTTGACAATTACCAATGTCTCTCAAGCGTGAGTCTCTTGAAAATCGAAAGCCCATCTCTGACAATGTCTTAGCTACGCGGTCTTCCCCGAGCATCTCGAGGTGATGGTCCAGTCCAACCTCTGCAAAGTCGTCGGCCGCGTCAGCGGAGACATGGTCACTATCGAAGGTCGTCTCCGCGACTCTGGCTGGGCTCTGCTCATGCCCGAGACTCCCGGAGAAGGCAGCGATAGAGGTCACGGATCTTCTTCCAGTCAAGGCCACGGGCAGAGCTCTGGGGTGTCGCCTTTGGGCAACATGATGCGTTGGGTCACTGGCTTCCATGATGCGTTTGCGCTCTATGGAAGACCGGAAAAGTACAACTGGAACCCAAGGGACCCGAAGAGTCTGTTCTTTGCCTATCCCCAGGGCCCGCATCGAGGAGTGAGTAGGTTCATTCGCGTCTAGGCATGGCTAACGGGTAATCAGAACCTCTTTTTGACCGTGGACGAAGCCTTGCGAGGAGATTTCCGTGTTTCTTCACTCGCCGAAGTTCGTGCGCAGCTCGTGCACCTCGTGCACCGCCGTCTTGCTGGTGGCATTCAAGAGCATATCGAGGAAGAATCCGGCGAGGATGAAGAGCGCGAGCGCGAGATGCCGCAGCAACAAGGCAACTTCCGTCTCCCACCTCTTGCTTTCAACGAGCTACACGACAACGAGGAGCAAAACATGCCACGATCCTTGACACCCATCACCGAGAGGACGGATGTGACGAGGCAAAACAGTACAAAGACTAGCAAGTCTGGACTTACTATTGCCGGCATGGGCTCTCCTCCGAGTGGCACCACTGCTCAAGGGGACAGAAAGACGAGCGGGGGTAGCTCCAAACATGGCAGCCAGTCGAGCAAACATTCTGATTTCGGTATCGTACCCATGTCTAACGACGGATTTGCCCCTCTCACCGAAGAACCTGGAGAAGTGTACTCTTCAAACGGCTCTGGATCCCACTCGAATACGACCATTACTCCCCAGCCTCCAGTGAACCCTCTTCCTGGTTTCGGTGTACTCGACAGGCATGACAAACAGGTCACTCCCTCTTCCGTTGCGAGCAAGACTTCAGAGAGTGTCTATTCGCAGGAGACGGGGTTGACGCCTGTTGCGCCAAGCAATGCGTCTTACTATAGTGCCAAACCTTCAGCGGACGGCCACGGGCCTCAACAGACCAATTTCCCTGTGCCAGTCCCGAATGGTCAGTCTATCGCGCTCGCTCCCCCTGTGGAAGCCCCTACGGAGCAAATTTCCTCGGCTCCAGGGCCTGAAGATAGGCCTCCTCTTCCTCCGTTTGCATCGGAAGGCTCTTCAGAGGTGCTCTCACCGACTCCACGCAAGGTTTCGTCCGGTGAACCTCTTCCCCACGGAGTAGAGCTGGCCCAGGAGCCAGCGGCAATGTACTTGATGAACATGGTCGAGGAGCCGCCGGTGCCCGAGCCTCCTCAGCGCATCAAATCAGCTTCTCCGCCTACCAACGGTGCCCATGTGAATGGGAATCAGCTGCAGAGGAAACCTTCAGGTGCCAGGGCTTTGCCTGTCAGACAGCAGAGTGCGGAGCCCAAGCTGCACAACATTCAAGACAGGCCTAGCGATGATTCTCATGCTCGACCCGAACCTGAGGCTCAGGTTCCCGAGGCCGCTCCCCAAAGTGCGAATCCTGAACTGGGAGAAGCCAATCCTGAACTGGGAGAAGCCAATCCTGAACTGGGAGAAGACTTTTCATCATACATGAATTATGCCGACAATCCTACACCTGTCAAACCCAAAGCTGCGCCTGCCCCTACCCGACCTTTTCCTCCCAAGGCCGTCTCGCCTCCTCAGGAACAGGTCAAGTCGAGCTTTGCTCCGAGTCGTGCGGTGCGCGAGCGACGTGCAAAGGCAGAACAAGATGCAAAGGATCAAGAGATGGCCAAATACAAGCCTGGCGGGGGGAAGCGAATCGTGAGCACTAGGAGCACAATGCCAGAGTTCGAAAGTTCGGATGAGGATGAGGATGAAGATGAAGAGGAGGAAGAGAGCGAAAACGAAGCTCCCGCTGCGCAGAAGAAGACTTCTCTACCGGTTCCTCCTGGCCAGGTCGCGCCTGTTCAAGGCGGACAGCTAGGACTCGAGGGTCTTCCTCGTGAACGCCAAACGTCCATGAATGCGCGAGCTCTTCCGCCCGTTCCCGTCACCGCAAATCAGGCTCCCGACCTCCGACTGCCTTTCGAAGACTTTGACGCTCGATCTCGAGTCGGTAGTCAATACAGCCAGCACAGTCAACGCTCAAGTGGCTATGATCCTCGTGCCAATCAATATATGGACCGGCCTCGCAACGTATCGCGCACGCCCAGTCCTTTGAATGGCCCTCCAGGTGCGGGCAGACATGGATCCAATTATCATGGGAACGGTGCCGCCTATCCCATGTCTGGACCTCGCCAGTCTTACAACGTTGCCCCGCCTCCTGCCACCCGCCAAAGTGTGTGGAACGCCAACTTTTCCGCTCAGCATGGTATGGAAGAGAATACAAAGTTTGGCAAATTTGTCGACCTGGAAGAACCTTCTGTTCATCTTACCAAGGCATTCGCGCCTCACGGGCTGCTCCAGGCCGGTATACAGGACAAAGAAGAGAGATCGGCAAAGAAACAGGAGGAATTGGCTAGAGAGACGGGCAGCAGTCTCATCGATGTTCCCTCCAAGCCGCCACCCCCTCAGGCGGGACTTTTGGGCGCTGTGGCAGCGCATGAGAGGGACAGAAAGAATGCTGGTGGTATTGGTGCTACACTGACTGACAGAGAGAGAGAAAAGAGGTTGGCTGTGAGTTTATCTGGATGACACAATGTCATGGGCTGATTCTTTTTATAGGAGGAAAAGCAGCGAGAGTTTGACCGACTCCAGCGTCAACAGATGGGTCAATTCGGCGGGGACATGTATCCTCAGCAAGGCTTTGGCCAGCAGGGGTATGGCTACGGGATGGGCAATGCTATGATGAACCAGATGCCTATGATGGGTTATCCTGTAAGTGCACACTGCCGATATTTCCCTTGTGCGAAAGCTCATAAATATTCAGTACCAAGGAGGCTTTAATCCTTACGCTCAGGCTCAGCAACAAGCCATGATGGCTGCCCAGATGGCGTATCAACAGACCATTATGGCCATGTCGCAAGCCGGCTCTCAAGCTGGTGATCTTCACGAGCGAGCTCAATCTGCCCAGTCTCGTCATCGACAGGCCTCTGGGTTCAGCGATGACCGCTCTGCTTCTCCCAGCGCCAGCCAGATGGGCGGTATCCCGTCTCTCTATGGCGGATATCCGCAGGGCGGCATGGGTATGGGTATGAATGGTATGGGCATGCCCATGCCCATGCAGATGCCACAAATGCCGTGGATGATGCCCGGAGGCGGGATGCCAAGCCCCGGGATGTGGGGAATGCCTGGGCCGGCTGCTCAAGGAAGCCCAAATTAAGGGTTTATGCCCCCCAGCGCGCCTGGTGGGGCTGGTAGCGATGCAGGCAGTATGAGAGGGAGGCCGATGGGAGGAGAGGAGGGTGGCCAGAAGTTTAATTGATCTCGTAACATTTTTTCATCTCTTGACTGACTTGACTGCTGAAGGACTTTTGGAATGACCTTTGATATCATTGTGTATAACGTTTACGATACTGTTCTGAGAATGCATATTTATTTGATCGTCTGAACGTTCATTCTTTGTCTGACTCCTAGGATGCACACCCCGTTGGAGGGGATCGAGCCAGCTTTCGCTTGCAGTACAAGTGCTCTTCAATGCGAATGAGCGCACGGCATGGATATACATACAGTACCCCTTAGGACAGGATGATTCCCAAAAAGTCAATGCTCGGGTCTGACAAGGCAAGTAAAAAGGTATAGAGATGAAAAACGAATAAATGGCTCCCCTCCCTCGATCTACTACACTTTGTTGATTAATGGCATGATTTTGCTTCTCCTTCCAATGCACAACTTGTCACTCGCGCCCTACTTAGGCAGAAGCAGAGCTGTACCCGTTGGGGTGCCGCGTTTGAAAGTTCCATAAGTCGCGGCACATTGTCTCGAGGTTTTCGTTGGCGACAAAGCCAAGCTCCTTTTCAGCGAGCGCAGGGTCGGCGGTAAGGTCGGGGACATCACCAGTCCTAGCAAAACATGTATCAGCACTTTGCTTTTCGCACAAGAGTCAAGAGCATATGCTTACCTCCTACCGACAATCTCATACTTGTAGTCGAACCCAGTAGCCTTCCTCATAGCCTCAATCATGTTCAACACACTCATGCCCTTGCCCTTGCCCAAGTTGAAGGCGCGGAAGAACCCTTCGGTGGAAGTGTTGACCTTGCTAAAGATACTGGAGGGGTCGGAAGAGGGGACGAGGAGGGCTTCGAGGGCGAGAATGTGGCCGTGGGCGAGGTCCATGATGTGGAGGTAGTCTCGGACGCATGTTCCATCGCTACAGTCCCGTCAGATGTATGCTTGACATTTCGCAGAGTGGGAGCTTACGGTGTGGGGAAATCGGTACCAAAGACCTTGAGCTGAGACTTTTCTCTACCGCTGGCCATTTGCGCAAGGAGAGGCAGAAGGTTTCCTGGCTTGCCTCTGGGCTCTTCTCCAAGCTTGCCTGATGGGTGGGCACCGGCAGGGCTATTTCCACTGTTAGCTCTGCAACCGTACATGTCTATTTGCCCGACGCACTTGAAATACCGCACACTGACAGCTCTGAACTGATCGCTCTCCTCCTTGGCAATCACTCGCGACGTGTCGTGAATCACATCCTCAACCATGGCTTTTGTGCGGCCATACACGGATTCGGGAGCGACGGGAGAGCTTTCGGGAATGGGGATGGTTTTAGGGGCACCGTAGACGGTGGCAGAAGAAGAAAATACAATGTTGTTGCAGTTGTACTTGCGCATTGTCTAAATCCGGGTGTCAGCGGAAATGTCCTTTCTGCGTTCTGTTCCGAGATTGTGCGCGAATGGTTGGCTTACCTCCAGGAGACAGATAGAGCCAGCGACGTTGACTTGGTAGTAGCTCAGAGGAATTTCGGAAGACTCGCCCACAGCCTTGAGCGCAGCGAGATGGATGACGGCCCAGATTCCGCCGTCGTTCTTGTACTGCTCAAAGATACCCTCAATAGCCTTGGTGTCGCGAAGGTCGGCGTTGTAGAGGATAGGCTGGGGAGCGTTGGGTCTAGAGTGCATTTCCACATATCAGCACAGATACAAAAAAAAAAATCCCCCAGAATGCTTCAACTACCGCCGACGCGTTGCCGGTGTCCATTCTATGCAGGCATTGGAGAAGGACTCACCCGAGCTCATCACGAGCGATCTCTGCACATCTGCGGAGGGACTCGGGGTAGGCGTTGTGGCAGTTGTCGATGACGATGGGCAGGAACTTGCCGGTGAGGAGGAGGGAGACGACGACGTGGGATCCGATGTAGCCGAGTCCGCCGGTGACGACGACGCGCTTGAGGTCAGACATTGTTGGTGAGCAGTTGAACAAGGGTTAGAATAGAAATGTTGTTTTTGGACAAGGAGGATGTTTCCGCTTTGGTCAGTTTGGTCCATGACGCCACTCACTAGGCTGCTGCGGATTCCGCCGCTTACGGAGACCCCCGATCCACAAATCCGGCCCAGCCCATTCCATTTATGCCACCGCCCCAGACGTCACTAGCCCCTAAGCGAGACTCAATGCATAGCTACAACATGATCCATTACCCCACGTATAGTATTATCCCCAACCATGTACACTGTCCGTATCCTCTCTATCACCGTATCCTTCTATTTCCTTCTATTACCGCGTCCCCCGCTCTTCCCGCTCCCGCTGCTCCCGCGCCCTCTCACGCTCCAGCTCTCGCTCCTCCCTCTCCCTCCTCTCTTCCTCCGTCCACTGCACCTCTTCATATCTCGGCGGCAGCTCGAGCACATTCCCACTGTCCGGAGCCACCACCCGTCCAGCATCCCGATGCACCATAAACTCCATTTCCTGCTCTTCTCGCCGTCTCCGCCTCGCCGTTGCAGAAGGCGGACCAGAACCTGCTGACCCCTGTCTGCTCTGGGCAGTACGTAGACGTATCTGAGGCCGTTGGCCCGTAGTCGCGAGCGTGTCGCGCTTGAGATCTGTCACATCCTCTGAATCTTCACCGCCCTCTGTTGAAGCATCCACATCCCTTGTAGTAGGGTCATGTAGGACAAGAGGCCCAGATTGTTGGCGCATATAAGGGCGGTAATACGACTCGGTCGCATATCCACCAGAGTCCGGCCTGGATGGGAGAGACGCTTCGCCAGCAGAACCACCAGAGTCCAAACCCGCATCGTGTCCTCTTGTGGGCGGATCATGGTATACAGATCCTGCCGGCAGGAGCGCATCCATACTTGAAGTCCTCCCCATCCCCTCTCCGCCCACAGGTGTGATCGGCGTGACCGGCGACGGTTGTCGGCCCCCATTCAGTGCCCTCCCCGCCCCGAGACCAGCAAATCCAGGGTCGTATGCTGACTGAGACGATGGCGTCGGCGGGTAGGGGTGCTTGTGAGACATCGAGCTGTTGGGTGTTTGCTGATCGACAAAGGGGTCGAGTGCGTCCTGCGGGCTGGCAGTGCTGGGGGATACTGTTGGAGCAAGGTCGTGCGCGACAAGCGGAGTGAGTTCTCTTTGCCTCGCCACGCTCGTCCGGGAAGCAATGAGGTCCAGCTGCGTATCCGCCGCCGTCGTCCTATTGACTGCCTTTGGCGATGAACCCCTCTTGGCAAACATTCCAAACAGCTTGCCACCACCTCCGCTGCTACCGGTCGATGGTTGCCCAGCCGTAACGACCGCGTCGGCGTCACGCTTGTTGCGCATGCGGCGGCGGCAAAAGAATACCAGCCCTACGATGACAAGGGTGCCGAGGATGGAGCATATGGCAGCGACAACCGTACGGACGGTGGGGCTCAGTTCAGAGCCATTGGAGCCGCCCGGATTAACAGGTACTGTCGTAGTCGCGGTACTATACACTGATGAGCAAGATGGCGACAAAGAGAAAGAATCTACACTTACGCAGTACCATCTGATGCAGTCACACTCGGCGCACCATCACTCCCTTGCTCACTCCCGACACACCCCGTGGACCCCTGCCCAACCGTGAACATCTTGCTACTCCCTCCACTTGCCCATTTTTGCTCACTCCCTATACCAGCAACGAGTAAGAACCGCGTGCCCTTGGCCATATCGACAGTCCAGTCGAGGTAGGTAGTTCCCTGCGAGGTTCTGGTAGTGGGATTGTCGGAGAGCGATGAAGCAGGGAGGCTACTGGCGAATTTGGAAGTATTGGCGTAGGTGATGGGGATGGAAAAGGAATTGCCGAGGGGAATGACACCAAAGAGGGTCGGAGGACTGGTCGTATTGCCAGAGTGGTCGCTGGAAGAGAGCGCCAGCTCCTCAAGCTCAACAGAAGAGTCTCTTTCAGCCATTTTGTCCAGTCCCGCAAGGTCTCGTTTGGCGACATCTGAAGTAACGTTGGACTCTAGTGATGTAGGCCATGAGAGCGAGATATTGGAACATTGCGCGGGATATGTATCGTTGTTGGCAGTGTCCAAAGTGAACGAGAAGGAGTAGAGGTCAAGTATTTGGTCATCGGACAAGAAGCAAGAAGAATCTCCGGTACTCGACGTCCCAACGGCTACGCACATACTAGTCAGCTCTATCGCATCGTCGCACATGAAGACTTACTCATGACGTCTGTCGTAGCCGCATAACTGATCCCCGACGCTCCCCACATGGTCAACATGAATTGCAGGCCCGCTGGCTGCTTGATGGTGAACGTGTACTCGTGCGTGCCCGCTGGTATTGACTCTATCCAGACCTGCAAGACGTTGGCAATCAGCTTGGACTTTCTGGCGACGGACGCGACTCGAGGGGCGTACGTTGTATCCGTGCTGCTTTATTTCAGTCTATAGAAGGGTGAGTCAGTAAGATTCTAGATTGTATATGACCAGGAGAGACATACAGGTGTCAGAAGCAGGTGATAGGGTCCATCATCTCCCTCCCATCTACACTTATTAGCATCCCAAGGTGCAAGGTCACTTGCAAGAAACTCACTGTACTGTTGCTCTCTCGCACTGTACAGCTCTGGATAGGTAACCCAGCATCAGCATCTCCACATTGTCACATCAATTGTCACAGCACTGGCAGAGACGCGAGAAATCCTATTCGATAAGGGTAAAAACTCACTGCGTCATATTCACGCTCAGGTATCCCGCCTGGACGCTCTTTCCAAACAGCACGCCCCATAGCAGAGCGGCTATGAGTATTGTCGAGAAGGGGGAAGCAGGCATGGCCGTACGGGAGTGGTGAGAAAAGGTGCAAATGAGGAAGCAGTGGGCGAGATGGGAACAAGGTTTGGCGTCCGAATCCCGCGTTTCAGCGCGAAATCCAGCTTTTCTGCTCTCCCTCCTCCTTGTGTCTTCTGGTTGGGGGGCGACGGGATGTAATCCTGTCAATGTTTTGGAGCGAGGCGAGGGGAAGAGAAAAAAAAGCCGACTGTTCTTGATTCTATAAAGATACGATCGACCGCGTCGTTGGTTCACCCTCGGCGTCGAGGCGTCCCACCAGTCAGGCGATCGGAGTTACGTAAATAGATCTCGACGTTGACAGATCTTATCAAGATCTCTTGGCCTGTTGTCACTCCATGCATGAGCATCTTGCGCTACGTACAGCCTGGGACCCCAGACGGAGCTGAGACTGCTCGAGCCACTCGCTGGCGGTTTGACAGTCTAGGGAGACGATGACCGGTCGGTTCACCAGCATCAAACCTTTCGTTTCCGGCGGGCATGCTCCAGTCGATATCGATTCCCCGTAAAGGTGACATCCTTCCATACACGAGGGCTCAGCTTGCACCTCCTATTAAGCTCTCGGAGCGTAATGCCGTTTTAATTGAGAAGGGACGTTTTGAGTGTGCATGAAAGGATCTTGTGACTGTCAAAGTCGAACAGCAGCGCCGACGGGACTTGTCTTCTACTACTTCGATATATGCGAAGTATACCGAGCCTCGAGTTCGAGACACCGAGGCAAGAGGGGAGGAGGCTCGTGAGCCGTTACATACTCGGTCTTCATTCACTCATATTGCTAGTCCCCAGAGGACTATAGCATAGACGAGCAACGTCTTTGCCAGCAACAATCGCCGCTACCAGGAAGCCGAGACCCAATGATCCCGAAGGACGTGGTTAGCAACGTTACTATATGGTCTTGCTCGGGCCTCTAGAGACATACCATACTGATTCCAATGGCCAGACTCATGGGCAATGATTGCCTTGAGCGACTCCGCCGGCATTGACTCCTCCTCTTGGGGATGACAAGAGATGTCCACGGAGGACGGAGTCGAGGTCGTACCATGCCCGACCTCGGGATGAAGATGGTCACTTTCGGCTCCCATATTGTAGAAAGAGTCAAAGGTATCGGTCGCCCTCGGTCAGACTACATCTGCGAAGGATACTTGTCCCAATGTAGCTGCTGTCAAGTAACATCAGCCACAGTGATATCTCAAGACCAGTTGGCGACTCGTCTCCCTTCGAGACTACCGCCATACTAGAATACTGACATGGAACAACCGAGAAAGATGGAGGTCACGAATGAATCAGTGTTGAGGTTGATTGAGTGAGGGCGTACATGTGCGCCGAAAGGACCAGTCTGAATACCACCAAGGCTATACAAGTTTGGAGGAGTCCAAGGTAACGCGCCGTACGAACGATTGACAGATTTATGGAGGATCCAGTATGCATTCGATGCCATTTTGCTTCTTCTCACGCTTCACTTCAAGAGCCACATCTACTGCCCGGGCTCATCGAGCTCGGGATCCCACTTGACAGCCTCGACGCTCTTAACAGAAAGCTCATAGTACCCCTCCCTCACACCGTCTTCGACCTCATCTGCCACAGGCGCCGAGGCAGCGGCAGCGCTGGCTCGGTGGTAACCACTGTTGGATCGAGGTTTGGGAGGATTGGTCATGGATGAACCCGCGCTGGCATCCGGGCCCAAAAGCCTGTCTTCCTCGAGCATCTGCCTCAGCTCCGGGTCGTCCTCTGCTTCACTGACTTTTCCCTTGCCCCATCCTCCCAGCGTGATACCCTCCACGCCCTTGCCCGCCGGCGCCTCTCCAGGAGCAGCAGCATTGTCATCACGGTCTCGGCCGAGAAGAGCGAAACCGACAGTCCTGATCTGGGACAGCGTCATGGACACGGGCTGGGGCGAGACGACGCCCTTCTTGATGAGCACGAAGGAGGAGAGGGGGAGGTGGAGGGTGGTGAATGTGGGCAGGGGAGGAGAAAGGGGATCGAGGGGAGTCTTGGAGGGGCCAGACAGGGCGGAGGGGGCGAGTTCCAATCGGTGTTGGAAGATGTCGGTCCTGGAGGACAGTCAGCATGCGAGATGGTTCACGGAAAAACTCACCTGGGGCGGTCGTCGACACCGATGTTGACGACCCATCGGTTCCTCCACCCCTCCCAGCCGCGGTACCCGACGGTGACCTTGAGATGCGTCGCGAGGTCAAGATCCCAGGTATCCTGCCCAAAGAGCGTGCTCCTCGACACATTCCTAAAGCCAGCAAATCCCGTCCTGATCTTGCCAGCATGCTCTGGAGGCACAGCAGTGGACATGTACCCATAGAACGCCATGTGGGAATATTGGGGCTCGGACGAGGCTGTGGGCTCTGCGAGGGGCTGGGAGGGCACGAGGGCGAGCTCGGCGGTGGTGAGGCCGCCGAGCTGTGCGTCCGAGCCTGTGGAGAAATGGGTGGGGGGGTCTACGGGGGGATGGGCGGAGGCGAAGGAGAAGAGGGTCTGCGGCCCTGTCTGGGGGTGGATGTCCATGGCGGCGACTGGGGGTAAGCTGTGCTGCGGCCGGGGGGTGCTTACCCTTCTGTGCATTGCGGCGGAAGAGGGCTGCTGAGCGGTCGAGGTATGCTCTGAGGGCCATGTTGGGTGATGATGCAGAGGGAAGGGAGTTATTTCTGCCCCGGCTAGCCCTGACTTAGTGCGCGATTTGCTGGAATCATTCTCTTCTTCTTATCCTTCTTCCATTTCTTATTCTCGTCCATCCCTGCACTCCCCCTTCCCTGCCCCCGCCCTCGCTACCCCCCACAGCCCCAGCCGCCCACCATGGGAGACGCCACTCCCCCAGACATCACCGCCTTGCGTATACAAGGAGACTCGCCCACCACCTCCGACCCTTCTTCCCCCTCTCAATCCCCGCACCCGACCCCAAACGACACCACATCCCCGCCCCCGCCACAGCCCCGTCCCTCGCCCCAACCAGTCGCCTCTGCGCCCGTCATCCCCACAGGCCGCGCCCCACCAGGCGCCGCAGGCCGCCCACCAGCAGGCAGGGGTATGCCAGCTCCTATGGGTATACGAGGCGCTCAGGCCGGCCGCGGAGGCCCAGGCGGACAAATGCCTGCCAAGATGCTCCCCAGTTTGCAGGCCAAAATGGACAAGGTACGTACGCATATCGACGCCGAGATCCCATGCTGACTAACCATGATCGTCACCTCTCAGATCGCAGCATCTCGCCAAGGGCCGCCTCCCTCGACCGGCGCGGCTGACCCCAACTCGACCTCCATGGGAGCCCTGCTCCGGTCGCAGGCGCTCAAAGCACCAGGTTCGTCCCCGAATCCCTCGCCGGGCCCTGCGTCTGGCCCCTTCGGACTCGCTGCACGGAGAGCGGCGGGAGGCAATGGCCCGCCAAGGCCAAATTTGAGTATGATGGGTATGGGGGCCAGTGCGCCGGCAGTCGGACGAGGTGGTGGACTCGCAGGCAGACGAGGGCCCCCGGGTGGCTTGACGTTGAGTGGCATGAAGGGCGCGCCAAAGGATGAAGGAAACAAGTTTGCAGACTTTCAAAGTGTCGTGTATGTTTCCGAATCATTCTTACTGTGACTACGCTGACAACCATGCCAGCGATCCCTCAGGCTCATTGAGGTTCTCCAAAAAGGCCGTTCTCCACGCCAAGGGTGTCGACTTTGACGACGGACAGTCGTTCAAGATCAATATGGACGAGATCGAGGTCCTCGGCGAGTTGGGCAAGGGCAATTATGGCTCAGTCCATAAGGTTTTGCATCGCCCTACCGGCGTACTTATGGCTATGAAGGAGATCCGCCTCGAGCTCGACGACTCCAAGTTGAGCGGTATCATCATGGAGCTCGACATTCTCCATCGCGCCAAATCGCCAGAGATCGTCGAGTTCTACGGTGCTTTCACCATCGAAAGCTGTGTGTATTACTGTATGGAATACATGGACGCTGGATCGCTGGACACTCTCACGGGGGGAGGTGTGTCTGCAAAGGACCAGAATGCAGAAGAAGTAGAAGATGCGACTACAAGAGTACCCGAACCGGTACTGCGCAGGATCTCTGCAGCTGTAGTCAGGGGTCTGGGCTTTTTGAAAGATGATCTGCAGATCATGCACCGAGGTGAGTCTCTTATCCCGACCTTGGTTTCTAGAGTGTTCTAGTGCTGACACGCGAGTACAGACGTCAAGCCGACAAACGTGCTGATCAACAAGAAGGGCGAGATCAAGCTGTGTGATTTCGGAGTGTCGGGGCAGTTGGAAAAAAGTTTAGCAAAGACCAACATTGGTTGTCAGTCATACATGGCTGTGAGTCGTCCCTTTACCTCTTCTCTCAGTGCCTAACGTTGCACCAGCCCGAGAGGATCAAGTCTGAAACTGTCAACCAAAATCCAACCTACACAGTCTCATCCGATGTTTGGTCTGTTGGTCTGTCCATCGTCGAGCTCGCCAAGGGCTGTTACCCCTACCCGCCTGAAACGTTCGCCAATGTGTTTGCACAGCTGCAAGCTATCGTGCACGGGCCGGCGCCCACTTTGCCTCCGGGTTATAGCGATGATGCGAACGATTTCGTCGCCAAGTGGTCCGTCCTTTGCTTTGAGCCATCCATACCACAACTAACATGACCCACAGTCTCCACAAAGACCCGAATCAACGACCGACTTATGCCCAGCTTCTTGAACACCCATTCTTAATCAAGGACAAATCCGAAGACGTGGATATCGTCGGATGGGTGGAGGCTGCTCTAGCCAGAAAAGCAGAAAGAGGGATTGCCAGCTTGAACCCTATCGAGCTGGCGTAAATTGCCACTGTCTCCCTCGACTATCCTCTACACGACTTGTCCAACTCGCCATCTCAATGGGACATGCGCTCGATGCGCCGGCACCAACACCGACCCTTTCCTCTGTTCTCGCATTATCGCCACCCAACTGTATCCTTTCAACCCGTCGACCTCAAGTAGCCTTATTATTCCTATACCATTCTTCATGTCTCCCCTTGCCGCCCGTTTTCAAGTATCTTTTCTTATCACGTCCTTGCACGACCAAAACGATTTATCATCCACGACGTCTTCTCATCCCTCTTCTCATATGACAAGCAACAAGCCTTCGAGATCAGGGATGAGAGGCGGCCGGTTGTATCATTTGGATTTCCACCTGGATCTACGTTGAAGGGCGTTCCCTTCCTTGTCGTATACCTATACACATGATCGTCTGGATCATATACACGCGGGTTCTCATGGGTCTTTTCTTCTTCATTTTCTTCCGTATACCCCCGGTTCAATTCTCGTCTTTGTGTCTGTCTTTTCACTCTCATCAACATACATACGTCCGGTAGCCTAGTTTATCAGTCATTCTCCGATTGCATATGTTATTACTTCATAATGGAACGGTGAAGCTGCATTGGCATAGGTGTCTGATGGTAGAGGAGCGTGGTGGCGATATGGGGCACGGTCGACGGTCGGCAGAAGAATAGTTGGGCGATCAAGAATGGCACCATACCTATCTCGTCTTTTTCTCATTGGTCATATATGTGTACATGGATGCTGTTACTATACGCTGTCAATCTACAAGCTCCCTCAAGATAAGATCACCCTCATCTTCCTGGCGCCCCGCTCCTCGGCTCATCCCCATCTCCATCTCTATAGTCATCATTCCCCTCCGCAAATTCGTCATCCTCCTCTCCAAATTCATCGATTTCTTCTCCTAATTCATTCTCTCGTCTCCTGGGCATCCCATCCCTCGTGAAGCCGACTTGACGATCGTCCTGCGCTTCGAAATCAAACGCTTGGGGACGATCCTCCTCGGGGTTATAGGGATAGTCGTCTTCTTCATGAAAGTCAGAGTCGTCGTCTTCGTCAGACCACTCGTCATCATCGCCCTTGTAGTTCATAAACGCGCCCAGACGAGCGAGCCGCTGGGCACGAAGAACCTCATCGTCACCTCCCACACCATCGACCCCCGGCCCGCCGCCTCCATCCCCTCTTATCCCGTTCGCCCCCGTATCCGCAGTATAGCCATCTCTCAATCTTGTGGAGGAATTGCGATTCCTCGGTACGGCTCCCCGGCCTGGATGATTTATCGGGTGTCTAGGTTTCGGTGATGAAGAGCGGGTAGCCTCGAGGGAGAGGGAGGATAGGGAGGAAGCGGTTTGGTTGATGTAGTCTCTCTGGCCAAGGGAGAGTGTCTGGTCTATGGGCCTTCAAGGGGATCAGCGTCGGTAAACGACAATTGCAAAAGCGACGGGGCTTACAATATGAGACCGTTTTTAGCCAGGGTCCCTTCACCACGTCTTATCCTGTCCAGAACGCGCATCTTGCCGCTCGTATGCACTTCTCTTTCCTTCCCCTTGCCCTTGCTGAAACCAAAGTCTTGCCCTGCCGCAGACGCAAAACCAGCAGATCCTGCTCCTCCAGGATCATCCATGTCCATATTTTCCATCATCAGCTCTTGCTCCCGCATCAGCAGTGCCTCCCTGGCCTTGACGAGCTTGTCTCGAACAGGATCCACGATCTGTGCGGACGAGAATGACGAGGAGGAGCCCGCGGAGGAAGCATCAGGAGGGGAGGCAAAGAGGGGCGAGGCGAGGAGGGCGGTGTTTCTCTCGAGACGGGCCTTGACCTCTGGGAGAGAGAGCGAGGGGATGTCTTCGTTGATGGCGGCGACGAGGGAGGGTCTTGCGCGGCGGGTGGGCATGGTGTGGGGAATAATTTTGAAGAAGAGGGGGACATGGCAGGAGACGGCGGGTTTATATACCAAGTAGACGTGTTCAGGCACGTTTCGGGTGGAGGCAGTTCCTAGTCTGATAACCGGCGCAAGCAACTCTCGTTGTGAGCGTTGTGAGCGGGACAAAGCAGGCAGGAGGCGGAGCAGACACATAGATGCATCAGGATGAGCTGACATGATTCAACTGGTTTGTTTTTTAATTGTTACGATGAGATTTACCCAACAAGAGGATGAGCTACACTGGATAAAAATGCCTAGACATGATGATGATGGAAACGAATGGAGATCTAAAGACAGCTTTCTGATGCGACGACTTCTAATCTGCGAATGAGGGTCAGCGCTAGGTGTAGATGGAAAGAGCAAAAAACTCACAAAGAAGTCTCGTCAAGATGTTGGACTTTGTCCCGTTGATAGCAGAGTACAGCCCTTCCACTTCCTCTTGCCCGACACCACTGATGTCGGCCATCAAGTACGCAATATCTCCCTTGGAATCCGAGAACTGCTTCTCGATATTGTGGTCCGCCAGGATGTTGTTGATCCCCTTCAACACACCGGGCTCATTCCTGTGCACATGGCACACCCGGATATGTCTCTCGTCGGCAGTGGTGATCGCACGAAGGTCGACTTCGGGGAAGTTGACGGCACCAAGGGTGGTACCGTAGTTGAGGTAACGGGTCAGGGCGGTGGCCACTTCGGAACCGATCGCCCGTTGAGCCTCTTCGGTGGAACCACCAATGTGGGGAGTGAGGATGAGGTTGGGGACATTTCTCAGCCTGGGGATAAAGTCGCCCAGAGAACCGTCAAAGCCGGGACCGTTGGATCCGGGCTCCTTGGGGAAGACGTCGACGGCGGCACCAGCAAGGTGCTTGCTCTCCAAAGCGTCGGCAAGGGCAGAGAGGTCGACAACCTTTCCTCGGGCATTGTTCATGAAGAACGCGCCCTGCTTCATCTGCGCAAACTGCTCGGCACCGATCATGCCGATGGTATCGGGAATCTCGGGGACATGCAGTGTCACAAAGTCGGCGTTGGAGAGCAATTCTTCGAGGTGTTCGACTTGCTTAGCACTACCGAGGGGCATGATGGGCAAGACGTCATAGTAGATGACAGTCATACCGAACGCTTCGGCGAGGACGGAGAGTTGCGAGCCGATATGGCCGTAACCCACGATACCGAGCGTCTTGCCTCGGATCTCCCAGCAGTTCTTGGACACCTTGTTCCAGATACCGGCCCTCATCTCAGCAGTACGGTCCACGATCTGCCTCGACAGCGCAATGATTTCTGAAATGACCAGTTCGGCGACCGATCGCGAGTTGGAGAAGGGAGAGTTGAAGACGGCGATACCGGCCTTGGCGGCGTGCTCGAGGTCGACTTGGTTGGTACCGATACAGAAACAACCAATGACGAGCAATTGGGGATTGGCGTCAATGACCTTGGCGGTAATCTTTGTCTTGGATCGGATACCGATAGCTTGATAGTTGGGAAGCTTGGCCAAGAGTTCCTCCTCAGTGTAGGCCTTGGTAACGTGGTCAACCTGCATACTGTCAGCTCTGTGCCCTAGTGTCAGTGACGGGACGTACCTCGTAGCCCTGTGTCTTCAAGAAGTTGGCAGCGTCGGTGTTGATGTTTTCGAGCAACAAGATTTTTGTCTTGCCCTGTCGTTTCTCGTGGCCCTGCTCGGTAGGGTAACTCGGGGGGAGGAAGGCGGTCAACTGGCGGGCAAAGCCCTGGAAAGCGCCGCCGATGGAAGCGCCGCGCATGTGGCTGCCCGAGGGAGAGCTGGAGAAGTTGTGGATGGGAGAGGTGCCTGTGGGAGGGGACTGGGGGCTGAAGGAGGTCTGGGGGATGCCGCGGGTGTTGGCCGGGATGGGGATGCTGCCGGGAGTCAGCGGGAGAAGACAGGGAAGGAAAAGTGGAGGTCGCGAGATCTGCACCGGAGGGAGAGTCACCGGGGTCCTTTGCACCCCAGAAAGACACGAGGAGACGCAGGGAGGGAAACGAGGCAGCGCTCTTTCGCAGGGGGCAGGGAGGCAGGGAGGGGCAGCAGCTGGGGCAGAGCGGGGAGGGGACGTACTTGTTGGCAGGGTCAGAGGCAGAGACAGAGGATCTTCTGCCCGAGGCGGTGGGAATGGGGAGGGACATGGCGCTGTTTTGCAGGGGGTGGAGATGGAGATGCAGATGCAGATGCAGAGAGCGATCCTGAAAAGTGCCATAACGAGTCGTAATTCCGAACTTCTCTCCTCCTCCTCGAGCACGCAAAACCAGGTTACGTAACTACTCCCACGTGGCCGGGTGGAGGCATCGCGTCCTTATATTTTCATGTCCTCTTTCACGCACCAGCCAACAGCACCGGCACCATGGACTACCTCCCCATCCGCCCCCTCCCGGCCGCACCCCGCCAGCAGAACACGACCAACCCGCATTCACGCCACTTTCACCAGTTCCGCCACCCCTTGTTCATCAAGCACCCAGCTGCCATCACCCACATCCACTTTTGTCCCACAAAACCCCATCGATATGCCGTCTCTTCCTCCACAAGAGTGCTCATATATGCGCCAAAGACAGGCAAGGTCATAAAAACCATCTCGCGGTTCAAGGATACGGCGAGAGGGGGCGAATTTAGGAAGGACGGAAAGTTGGTGGTAGCCGGAGGAGACGATGGTGTTGTGCAAGTGTTTGATGTCAACAGTCGAGCTGTGCTGAGAACGATGAAGGAGCACAATCAGTAGGTGTATTACTATGTGCCAGGCGTATGTTCTGACTATTGTAGACCCGTGCGAGTGACCCACTTTTCTCCCCATCTCCCCCAACTGTTGTCTGCCTCAGACGACACGACAGTCAAGCTCTGGGACCTCTCTACCCAGGAATGCCTTACAACGCTCTCATCCCACACCGACTACGTTCGATCCGCTGTATTCTCTCCCACCGATCCTTCTCTCATCCTCTCGGGCTCCTACGACAGCACTATTCGTTTACACGATGTGCGTCTGCCGGCTGACGAGGCGAACGTCATCACGATGCGACATGGCGGGGCGCCAGTCGAGGATGTCTTGGCTTTCCCTAGTGGAGGTGTGGCTCTGAG